ACGCCTTCCCACCGCAGCAGGCAGACTCTGACCCATGCAGATGGTTTCCAGGTCCTGGGCAGCTGTGCTGAGTCTCCTGTGGTCTCTGCTGCTCCTTGGCTACAAGTGGACCTGGAAGCCACTGACCCCTCTCTGGAATGGCTTTGTTCACGTGTTTACTATTTGCCCTTCCCTCTGGACTGTGAGTTTCCTAAAGTCATGGAAGGCTTCCCTTGTTTGGCTCTGTGTCCTGGGGGCTGGACACAGGTCCTGGCACATGGCCAGTATTCCGTTGTCATTTCCTGAGAGTGAATGGCCTTTGGGCTAGATTGCAGGAGCAACATTCAGACAGCCTTTGGGACAGATCTGGGAGAACCTTGCCCTGGGTTCCAGCCAGGGGCTGTCAGGATATGGGTTCAAGTCGCACCAAACATCAAGACAAGTTGCAGAAGCAACCACCCACAAAGCCCCCTAGGGGAACAGTAAATTGCTGCCTCCCAGTGTAAAGGGAGGAGCAGCTGAGGGCTGAGCCAGGACCTCCGCCCTGGGCTTTGTGCTGGGACAGGGATTAGAGCAGACAAAGATTTTTGAATGAAGGCAACACCCCCACTGAGGCCAGATATTACTACCCCAAATTCCGGGTATTCAAATGCCAGCCCCTCTTGTCTCTCTGCAGTGGCTAAAGGATCCAGAGGTGGGAAGGTTCCTGGCTCTGACCCAAGGACAACATTATTTTAGTCACAAAAATTATCAGCGCTTGCATTAATTTTGGCTAATGATGCCTCCCTCTCCCAATAAGGCTTTTATGTTTTTGGCTGTTGTTACTGTTTTGGGCTGCATCCTCCAACTCCCTCGATGAGAGACCATTCGAAAGAGAAGTAATCATTTGTCTTGGTATCTCACACAGGCTGGCAGACGGGAGGGGCCGTGTGTTTGGGTGCAGCTGCTGAGCTGTAGATTCCCAGCCTCACGTATCCCCCACGCCTGCCAGGAGGCGGAGGCTCCTATTGCAGACACTCCCTCTGGGCTGGGCCAGGCAGAGGATGCTCCCTTCAGCAGCTAAGAGCTAGAGTGAGTGCATGGTTCTCCCAGAGCTGGTGTCTCCTGTGCTGATGACTGGATGCAAAGCTGGGAGGCTTGGATCTCCTGACGTTTCCGTAACCGGGAGCCTGAAGACAAGTGGTTCTACTCACCCCTCCTGAACCAGTGGGCCGGAACAAGAATCGCTTGGATGGATCTCTGCGCTGCTTAAACACGCTGCCTGGGGACACAGTCCAGACTCCCAGCAAGGGTTGGGCGACAGATCTGAAACATGAAGACCTGCACGTGCAGTGTGGGAGAAAGGACTACCCTCGTGCTAGCTCCGTGACGGGGTGCTTTTACTCCCCCTGGGAGTCTGACTCGATTGTGACAGACAGAGGCAGCCACCAGGGCTCACTTTCTCTCCTGCTGCTTTCTTGGAGGCCACTGGAGGGGTGCACCAGCCTCCTCTTACCTTGCAGTCCCTGGGTGGAATGTTCAGGCAGCCACCATGGTGCAAAATGTAATTCTAGTGTTTTTCCGCAGACGGCTGAGCCAAAGACCCGCCGTGGAGGAGCTGGAGAGAAGGAATATCTTGAAACGTGAGTAGCTGGCGATTCCTCCAGAGGCTTCCCTCACGTGGACTGAGGCTGCTGCCAAATCTAGTGCTCGCCACAGCCCATCTCTGCGGGCTGAACGCTCCATGCTCCCGTTAAATCTGGGCAGCTGAGGGATTCCCAAAGTAAGCCCCTAGAGGAGGGCTGATACATTCGGAAACATTCCCCTTTACCATTAAAACAAAACAAAAAAATTTATCCCAGCATAAAGCTGTTTCTGTTGTCAGCTTTACTTAGTCCTACAGAGCTAAGGAGAATGAAGCCTTCCCTCTGTGCATGTTGGTTTCAAGGTTTCCCTGGCAGTTTTGGACAGGGGCTCCCAATGGCCACAGAAATCACAGGCAAGGTATGGACAGTGGCAGAAATCCAACCAGGACATGCCCTGTGACTGGTATACCTAGGAGGAATAAAGCAGCCAGCCCAAAGAACCCAGGAATCCATGGGAAACTTTCCCGTGGCTCAGAACTCTTGAGATTCCAGGACCTTCTGCCTCTCCAGGCCTCACACCCCATGTGTGTATACAGCTAGAGCATATGCTGAGCACAGGTGCTCACAAATAGCCTCCCTAGTGTATAGCACAATGTACCATTGCATAGTTATTGGTGATTTGGGGTGCTAAGACCCCTGCAAAGGTGTTTCTCAGATAGTTCTCTAGCAATCTATTCAGTTTCAGTTTTTAAAACATTTTCTACACAAAGTGTCTTCTAATGACCTGGATTTTTAAAGTATTTTCTTTTTTTCTTCCTTTTATGCGATGAACATTGCACGCATTCTCTGTTGTGTGAGTGTGTGTGTGTGTGTATGTGAACATCCTTTTATGAAGTTATAATAGTACCAAGGCTGACTTTTCGTCAGAATGCAGATCACAGAGCCCTTTGTTGGTCTGGGTACTAAACTTGAACTGATTCTTCCCTCCTTTCTTGGCCTCAATGCCTTCATTAGCCTAAAACAATTCCCTCCTTTATAAATTATTGAAAATATTTAACCCTTAAAGAATTCTTCATTTTACTTTTTAAACTTAGGTTATAGCAACTACTATTCTATGTTATGCTAACTAGGCAGTATCTGATGATTTAAAGAAAAGCTTTTCATTGAAATGTGCTCAATTAATTAGGCAGACAGAAAAGTTGAGTTGTTTCAGTTGCCAGATATTTGAATTTTTAAAAATGAAGCTACTTATGTATAAAGCGTGTAAGTCACAGATGCCACTAAGCAGGCCACTGTCCACAACAAGAAGAGAGTATCACAGTCTAGACTTGTGACCTGGGACCTGTTTCTTCTTCCAGTAGTGACATCTTCCCTCTGATTATGAGCAGTCAGGTCCTCCCACCAGCAAGTGCTTCTAGTTGTGTTATTCTTTGGAAATAAAGATCAAACACTTAAAAACAGAACTGTCCTTGGTGAACAGAAAGCTAGTAAGTGCATAATGGGAACCAACTGTACTTACCTTCATTGTGCAGAAGGGAAACTGGATTTCCTGTGCTGTGACCATGGCGACCCCGCCCTAAACACGCTGCCTGCACCGGCCAACCACAGTTTGTCCTTAGCTCAGAAGCCTTCTCAAGCAAGCATCTTGAGTGGGAGGACCTGACAATTATCTTGCTAGGCTTGTGGTGGGTGGGTAGTTTGTTTTCTTTTGCTTTGTTCTGCAGACATGAGAACAGGGTAACTATAGATAGCCCCATAGAGAACGTCACACTCATAGGCCCTTGACACTCAGGACTTCAGGCCATCACACTGTAGTGCGTTTTCTGCGTGTTATGAGTTCTTGGAATATCATCCCTCTGTGCTTGCTTCCCTTCAAGTGGGGACCTCATGACTAATGGTGATCTTATCTGAGGAACACTCAGAACTCTGTCTGTATAACATGGATATAAAAGCATGAGACATAACAGCCCCTTTATACTTGATGACGACAGTGATCGTTCTTTATTGCCACACATGGTACTCAGGACTTGGTTATGGGGCCTTATTTAATTGTTGCAACAGATTTGTGGGGTTTGCAATGCTCTCCCCATTTCACTAGTGAAGAAGCTGAGGCTCAGAGAGATAATGTGACTTTTTCACAAGTGAATATTGGCCAGAGGATAGAGGTAGAGTTCAGCCCAGTATTGCCTACCTCTATTGCCCATGTTCTTAGCCACTGCATTAGAAGCATTAGTACAATTCTGAATAGTTATGGAAAATTCATGTATAACTGTCCAGGCTGCTGGAACTATTTCCAGAAAATGTGCATTTAGAGGTCTTGATGATGGCTCCTTTGTTTTGTGTAAGGCACAGGGTTCACTGGGTCTGGAAATAAGAGGTCCACAAGCATATCACTAATGGGTGCTCTGAGGGAGAGACTAGTGGGTTAGGCTATCAGGAAGACCTTCCTGGAGCCAGGAAGGTCTTCCTGATAGCCTAAGTGATCTGATGGTCACTTGCAGAGATCAGCTTTCCAAAGACTTTGCTATACTCATATGGCCTTGGTCTAATGATGGTGTTTTTCATGATTAAAGAAAACAAAGATCTGATTTTGCTTTACTCTTTTCACATGGAGGCTGCACTTGGGAGTTGTCCGTGGCCTAGTTTTAAGAAATCTGAAGAATTTTATGTCATCACTTAAATCCCTCATGGGTGGCCTTCTATGGGATACTATCACAATGCTTTTCTAATTGTATCATCAGCTTTCTGATTATACCTTAAAAACCTGGTTTCTTCTGGTTTACCACTTGGATAAAGAACTGAGCACTAGCAGTGTTTCATGTCCTTTTCTAAAACACCCCAATCCAAGATGACTCTTTTTTAAAAAAAAAATTACTGGTAAGTGCAATATATTAAACACCCATGTAACCAAACCCCCAAATGCACAAATGTTTGAAATGCACCTTTTAAATAAAGGCAGAGCATCCAAAATTATGTTACCTGCAAGTAGGGGGGACTTCCCTTGTCAGGCCCTGGGGTATTTCCAGGAGTGCTCATTATGGAGATCTTTCCAGGTCAGGGACCAAGGCTTTATTTAGCAACAGAGCATACCAGAAATAGGATCGTCATTATCTCATATCCCAGGGCAAGGCTTACATTTTATACTATTTCTCTGCACTCTGTTCTATTTTTAGCTTCCAAGTATAGGTGTGAGCACAGCTTGAATGTTAGTAGTCACAACTCACCAAGCAAAGCTAATTTCAATGAGGAGCTTGGACTTCTGTAAAAGGAACTGTCATACAAAAGTGTTCATGCTTCAGCAATGGAGATCAGCTGGGTGCATAGATATAGTCAGGTTTGAAATGGACCCTGAAAATATAAATTCCAGGCCAGTATCTGTTGCCCAGAATCTGAAGTGAGTGTTCCATATTTCATGTTGGTTGGTTTAAGAGTATGCATGGTTATTAAATGAAAAAAACAGTGTCAGTGCTATTTATATTCAAAGGTATACATACATTTATTTACTTAGCCTACTATAGTTGCTTTTATGTGCCATCTATATATTAGATGTAAATATACAGATAAAGATATCTGGGGAGAGAGAGAGAATCAGTGAGAAACAGCGAGAGACAGATACACAGAAATATCTATTTCCTGGAAATAAACAGTAGCAATACCTGTTGCTGTGTCTAATGTGGAGAAGTGCTGAGAACAGGTTAGGGGAATGGCAGAGCTCTGCTGTGTACCAATGCTTCTGTGTGATGAGACTATGGTCTCCTGAGCAGTGATTGACAAAGTGTGAAAAAAAAAAAAAACAGTGGAAAAGTTCTCCTTAAATCCCACCTTTAACTCAGATCTCTAGAAATACGGACAGCTTGAGTGTCATTTTCTGCTAAAGAATAAAGTCTCAACTGGTTTCTCTCTCTCTCTCTTTTCCCCCTGCTTTAATGTTTTACAGAAAGGAATGATCAGACAGAGCAGGAAGAAAGAAGAGAAATCAAGCAAAGGTTGACAAGAAAGGTAATATACATGTTTTATTGCCTGAATAATAAAAGGTGAACTGGAGAACAGCTGCTTCTGTAGCAGTCAGGATGGGTAATGCTAGATATCACTCTATGATCACGAATAATGTTTTCTTGGCCTATATGGCATTAGTTAAATCAGAGTATTTGTTCAGCAACCATGAATTAACTCAAAAAGTAGTATCTTTTGCCACATCCTATTGTATGTCTTTGACATTCCCTATGGACAAAATCCTTTTCCAGCCCAGAGCAACTTGGAAAGGCAGTACAACCCAGATGACATTTTCACTTATTTCCAGCTGGAAGCCAGAAGTTGACTGGCATTTTCTTAATTTACACAGTGTCTAAAAAAGCATACCTGGCTATCAGTGTTTTAGTGACTTTTTATACTCATCACTTTTGGTCCCCTTTGATATGTGTAGAAGTTCCTTGGTTGTAGGAACTTTATTAGCCTCAAGGGTTTTTTATCTGTGACTCGAATAGTTAAAATTTGCTATGATGAATATGGGTAGCGACTATATAAATGCTAATATGCTTCACAGCCCTGAGCATTTCTAAATTCAAGTGTCATAGCCAGGTGCAGTGGCTCACACTTGTAATCCCAGCACTGTGGGAGGCGGAGGTGAGAGGATTGCCTGAGGCCAGGGGTTCCAGACCAGCCCGGGAAACGTGACGAGACCTCATCTTTACAATTAATCAAAAAAAATTAACTGGTTGTGGTGGCACATGTCTGTAGTTTCTGCTACTTGGAAGGCTGAGACAAACCTCAGACTGGCCTCACAGGATCACCTGAGCCCAGCAGGTTGAGGCTGTGGGGGCTATGAGCATGGGTGTGGTGTGGTGATCATGGGTGTGGTGGCACGTGTCTGTAGTTCCTGCTACTTAGAAGGCTGAGGAAATTATCTCGAAATTAACAGAATACACTTCCTGAGGTTGAAGTATGAGCAGTAGTTAGTATAACTTTACCAGTACTTTAAAAAGCTTACCTAATTGGACTTGAAAAGAAACTGTTGATGCCATAAGTTTTATTTTAAGTTAATTCATCAACCATTCCTTGAGCCTGTGTGTCTACTGCTGGAGGTGTCAATCCTTTTGATAAAATGTGTTGGAGGAAGGAGGATTGTGACTGAAGAGTATAGTTTCTAATTTAAGTCCTTCATGTTAGAGAATGTGTGTATTCAGATGCTATTTTACAGCTTCAGAGTTTTATTTTTGTTTATAAAAATATGCTGTTTGTTCTGAGTACTTCAAAAAACTATTTTGGTGTGTGATACCTAACTATGATGATGTTTTATTTTAGCTTAATCAGAGACCTACCGTTGATGAATTAAGAGACAGAAAAATTCTGATACGATTCAGTGATTATGTGGAAGTAGCGAAAGCACAGGACTATGACAGGAGGGCTGACAAACCCTGGACAAGACTGTCAGCAGCAGACAAGGTATGGAGTTGTCCATGCTGCTCAGGGGTGTCAGATTTCATAAGGGCCAAATACGTTATGCTATGGAGCTTATGTTTAGATAGTGGGAGCCCTCAGTTATTTAAATGAAGGCTATGCTTGCAACAGATATTGGTTTCACAAAGATATAACAGGGTCAGAGTTGAATAGTCATTCTCAACTAGAGGAGGTTTTGCCCCTAGGGACATTTGGTACTATCTAGAGACTTTTTTTGGTTATCACAACTGGGGGTGCTACTGGCATCTAGTGGGTAGAGGCCAGAAATGCTGCTAAACATCTCACAATGCACAGAACAGAAAATTATCCATTTTCCAAATAAGGGTGTGGAAATGGAGAAACCATGGTATAAGGGGATGAATCAAAAGTGAGCAAGGCTGGCATAAAAGAGACCACCTGACAAGTGTAAACAAAAAAAGCTACAGTGGGGACAAGGAGGAGTGAAATGATACAGGAGGCTTTAAATGTACATAGGTGTCACATCAACTTGGAGAAATGCAGACATATTAGAGCTGGACTGACTAACTTGGTTATCTGTCACTGATGTGGTCAGAGGATCAGCGTGATAAGGGGAGATAAAAGCATCTTTGGTAGTCTGCAGACATGTTTGAGTATGGGAATGATATGCCCCTGAAATTCTTAAATTAAACCCTTTCCTTGACCCAGAGGCTATGTCTTATGTTTTATCTCGCCTGGTCCCTGGAGGGTTTATCTGAAAAGAAAGTGCATGATGAAATTGTGCCTGGGGAGCTAGAGGATGGCCAGATGAGAGGCTCTGAAGAGCACTCAAAAGACCAAGCTGCATAGCCCACCCACATGTCATGGAAATTAAAATGTGATTTTTCAAACAGCACAAAACATAAATGTATGCTGAAGTTAGAATGACTTGTTTCTAGGTTATCTGACTGCAAAATTTCAAGTTCACCAAAAAGCTGAACTTTATTATTTTGGCGTTCCTACTTCATTAGTGCCCTAAGCATGTGCTTGGCTCATCTATTAGGTTTGGGTACACGGGAGAGGGGGGAGGGTATCTTCCTCTTACAACACAGCCAATTAATTCACTAAAGACCTCCAGAATACGTCCTAGCCAGAATAACTGGACAAGAAATAAAATATATCCAAATTGGAAAAAGGGAAGTCAAACTGTCCCTCTTTACAGATGATATGATCTTGTATCTAGAAAAACCTAAAGACTTCACCAGAAAACTCTTAGATCTAATACAGAAATTTAGTAAAGTTGTAGGCTACAAAATCAATATACAAAAATCAGTAGTATTTCTATACACCAATAATAAACTAGCTGAGAAAGAAATCAAGAAGGCAATTCTATTTACAATAGCCACAAAACAAACAAACAAAACAAAAAAACCTAGAAATAAATTTAACCAAGGAGGTAAAAGACTGTTATAAGGAAACAATTGAAGATAGAAATCAAAAAAGACACAAATAAATGGAAAGTGGAAAGCCATCCCATGCTCATGGATGGGAAGAATCAATCATTAAAATGACAGTTATGCCCAAAGCAATCTATAGATTCAATGTTATCAAAATACCAATATCATTTTTTACAAAAATAGAAAAAGCAACCCTAATATTAATAAGAAACTAAAAAACAGCCAGAATAGCCAAAGCAATCTTGAGTAAAAAGAACAAAACTGAAGGCATCACATTACCTGACTTCAAAATGTATTATTATTTTGGCGTTCCTAATTCATTAGTGCCCTATTGGTATAAAAACACAAAAACCAATGAACATATTAGAGAACCCAGAAATAAATTCACATATTTATAGCTAACTGATTTTTGATAAAGGTGTCAAGAACATACACTGGGGAAAGGACAGCCTCTTCAATAAATTATGCTACAGAAATTGGATAGCCCTATATCTTACTTACCATATATAAAAGTCAACTCTAGTGATTAAAAACTTCAACGGAAGACCCAAACCTATAAAACTACGGCAAGTAAATATAGGGGAAACATTTCAGGACACTGATCTAGACAAAGATTTTTTTGGCTAAGACCTCAAAAGCACAGACAACAAAAACAAAAATAGACAAGTGGGACTGTATAAAACTAAAAAGACCTGCACAGCAAAGGAAACTAAATAGAGTGAAGAGACAGCCCATTGAATGGGAAAAAACATTTGCAAACTATTCATCTGACAAGGGACTAATATTCAGAATATACACAGGAAATCAAATAAGAGCATTTTAAACATTCTCATTAAAAAGTGGACAAAGGACATAGTCATTTTTCAAAAGAAGACAAAAGGCCAACAGTTACATGAAAAATGCTCAACATCATTAGAGAAGTGCAAATCAAAACCACAATGAGATATCAACCTCCCCCAGTTAGAATGGTTATTTTAAAAAGACAAAAATTAACAGGTGCTGGTGAGAATGTGGAAAACAGCAAACTTTTTACACTGTTGGTAAGAAGATAGATTAGTGCAACCATTATGGAAAACAGTATGGAGTTTCCTCAAAATATTTTAAAAAACTTTATGAGTCAGCAACCCCTCTTCTGGGTATATATCTAAAGGAAGTGAAATTAGTGTACCAAAGAGATATCTGCATGCCTTTGTTCACTGGAGTGTTACTAACAATAGACAAGATATGGAATCATCCAAGTGTCCATGAATGGATAAACAAAATATAGTACATATACTATTCCACCTTTAAAAAGAAGAAAATCTTTTCATTTATGACAATATGGTTGGAACTGGAGGTTATTATGTTAAGTGAAATAAGCCAGGTCCAGAAAGACAAATATATATTCTCACTTATATGTGGGAGCTAAAAACGTTGATCTCATAGAGACAGAGAGTAGACAGAGGCTGAAAAGTTGTGTGGTTGGTAGGGGCAGGAGAGAGAAATGTTGGTTAATGGGTAGAAACATGCAGTTAAATAGGAGTAAATCCTAATGTTTGATAGCAGAGTATGGTGACTATAGTTAACAATAACGTATTTTATAATTCAAAAATATCTAGAGAAGAGAGGACTTGAAATGTTCCCAACACAGAGAAATGATAAATATCTGAGTGATAGACATCCCCCAAACCCTGACTTGATCATTACATAGTCTGTGCATATAATAGAATGTCACATATACCCCATAAATATGTACAAATATATATCAATAAAAAATAAATTTGAAGAGACTTCCAGAATACTGGCTACACAGTAGTTTGATAGGACTACAAAAATGAGTAAAACAGTCTTAATGCCGAACAAAAAATGTTTTATTTTTATTGCCATATATTACAAAATATTAGAATCAACAAGTATTAGAAGTGTATTAATTTATAAACATGATACTAATTTCTATGTTTAACTTTTAATGTCCTGAAAAGCAATGTATTGTTTTTAAATTTCAGGCCGCAATTCGTAAAGAATTAAATGAATACAAAAGTAATGAAATGGAGGTACATGCATCAAGCAAGCATTTGACAAGGTCAGATTTCTGTTTGTATGAATTTCATGATACTTATAATTTATAATTTTGAACACACACACACACACACACACATGCCATAAAGAACTATACTACTAAACATATTCATCATTTCAGCAGAGAACTGTATTAAACAAACCAGAATCTTCCTCAATGAAAAATGTTGTCTGTACCCATGAGTTTTACAGGGCTCGGTGAAAGGTGATATGTATGAGAAGAGTATTACACAGGCATTGGTTTATTTAAGTAATGTATATTTAAGAAAATTAGTCTCAAAGCAATGAAAGTAATTTCCTATGTATTTAATGCCCCCTCTAATATTCAGAATTCCTCCAATGTGTAGTACTCACCACTTTATTTATACTTAATAGATTGCTGTGAAATTATTCTCCCCCTTCCCATTTACTTTTTCATATCTTACTTAAATTATTAATCATATATGAAAAAGGAGACTCCCTTCTTCATGGAGCCTATATCCCATTGGGAATATATTGGCTGATTCTTCCATAATCAAGATTTTTCCTATTAGAGTCAGTACATTCTCTTTCCATGCTACCATATGTGAGAGATGGCAATGAACTTCTTGGTAATGACAAAGTTGGGAAGACTTTTACTTATCTTTTACTTATTGAACTGTATATTATTTCAGTATTCCTCTCCTTCTTTTTCATGGCCGTGACCAACTAGTAATTATTTGAAGTTCTCGCACACCTCTATTTCCAAAGGCTGATGTAAGCAGCCTTTAATTACATTATTCTGTCCTCTCTCCTTTTATCTGAAGATGCTCAAGCCCCAAACACAAAGAGAAAGGAAATCCTGCATATAGATACTGCCTTAAACTAGAATAATGGATTCCTTTCCTTTTGTTTGTCACAGAGTGGGCACTGCAATTGTTATTTAAAATAAGATTTACTCTACAAGCCCAGTAACTAGGCACAGTAGAATTCCATCTTACCCAATACTTTTTGGATGAATATATCATAGAGGAAGGGGAGATTGGAAGGACTGGAGAAAATTATGCTAATAGTCTGTGTTTAAAATTTTTAAAGATTTCCTCCCATGACTAACATACTTTTGGGAGAGAAATAGATCATTTTAGTTTTGATTATTTTGAATGAGTCATATGAATATTTTGGAAAAATATTTCCAGTAAAACATGCATATTTTAAATGTTCATTCTGTCTTAAAGAAATAGGATATGGCTATATATTCTATGCAAAGAAACCTCAATTCAATACATTTTCCTATTATACATTATTTTAAAAGATGCTCATGCCACTGCACTCCAGCCTGGGCACAGAGTGAAATAAATAAATAAGTAAATAAATAAGTACAATAAAAAAGATGTTTATCTTCTCTCCCAAATTCTTGGAAACTTTTCTAGATGACATATTTTTTTTAGAGTGAGCTCAATACTTGAACATAAAGATATAAGATCTTTATACCACATTTTAGCACTTCATATCAATTTAAGAGTCAGAACAATATTTTTAGTTATGAGATTTTCTTGAGGGCATGAAATGTTACCATGAACATATTAACTAATTAATTACTTCTACTGATTCAGCAAGACCCTGGCTCTTCTATGTATTTCAAGGGCTTAAACTAATTCTAGGTAGTCCTAAGAATTCGGCATATAGTATAATACATTTTGGGGTCTAAGTGGGTCCTGGGAGTTAAGAACCCTTTGAGGCTCCACACTATTTTAACCAGAGCAGCTCTAGCCTCATGATTTGCATATGGAGCCCCTCAAAAGCTTAATAGCACCACATTAATTTGTGAAAGGTTTTTGGCTGTTTTAGCTGTCAGAAATGTATAACCTTAAAGTCTGTCTCTTTTTATAATCTCTAGATTCCACAGGCCATAGAGATTTTCTTCTGAGAAGAATTTGTGTTTAATTTTTTGATACCAACACTGAACATTCATCAGGGAACTTTCCTGAAGTTCAGCTCAAGACTACCTGCTGTGTTTGTGAGAAGAGCAGGATCACACACACAGGTGCAATCTTGGCCACACTTACCTGCAAGAGGAGTAACCAGAGGACACACACTTCTTTCCTTGGTGTCTAAGGAATGTGAACTGTTGGGGCCAGTTAAGACCCATTGTGACTCTACCAGAAGAAAACTACTGTTTGCCTTTTAGCCTTGTTTCACAGTTCTGCAGCATAAGGGAGGATGGGCGACGTGCATGTGCAGGCCCACCATTCCCAGGTCTCTGACATGAGGGACATGTGACACAGTCTCATTCAGAATTATGTTGAAAAGACATTTTTATCCTGATCACCATTAATTTGGAAACTCTTTAAGTTCATGTTATACAAAATGATTTACTGTATTATACTTTTTCCTTTTTTATATAATGTCTAACAAAAAATACAGCTGCAACATTTTGACTCCTGTTAATTTTGTTCTTTAATTAAATGACTGCTTATTGCAGGAAATTAACCTGGGCTTTACATTTTCTTGGGATTGGGATGAGTGATCCCTTAGAATAGGGATCTGTGAAACAAGTCAGTTTTTACCTTTGAACCATCAGAATCCAAACACATGAAAGAAAATACCAACTTTTTATGTGTTTTGTTTGTAAATTCTGTTAGTATATGTTGTTTGTGCCTTGGGAAATCAAGTGATCTTTTTAAAGTTAAATTTATGTATCAAGGAGTATTGAGAGCATTTAACCTAGAAATAAGCAATAACTTGTTGAAAAATTCTATCAAAATGAAGTGTATCCTCTTTAAGAGGATTTTTAAGTTTAACTTTGCAAACATTAGTAAAAACACTTCTATAAGAGACAAAGGTAAAGGGTAGATTATAAAGAGAAGAAATTTACCCCAACACCAAGGTGAAAATTAATCTTGGCACAAAGTGGGAGACAAACTTAATAACAATAAATGTTCCCTGAAAAATATTTTTACTTGGCTTCTGAATAAGTGTCCTTACAAAAATGAGCCTTCCTTTATCCCTCCCTCCTTGTACACTGGTGAGGCAGGAAGCACAGGGGCTTGGAGCGCAACTTTCAGAGTTGCAGAAACTGCTCAAGTCCAGACTCTGCACTATTCAGCAAGTTATTTATTTTCTCTATAGGATGATAGTACCTCTCTCACAACAAAGCTGTCATGTCTAAATGAGATAAGAAGTCAAAATGCTGGCACAGTGCTCAGCACATTCTAAGTGTCCAATAAATGTTGGATCCAATAAATGTTTAAGTAGCCTAGCTACTGGCATGCTTGCCAGGTAGCTCCTGGAGCAACTGAGTGTCCTCTAGGACTACTTTCCACTTATGCTACCTCATTGCTTTTCACTATTTTTCCTTTTTGACTTCTTTATAACAACTAGGAAGTCAGTTGACCACAGAAACTGCTTAATCCTATGGTAACACTTTGTCTGAAGGGACTTGCGATCAGTCCTAAACACTAGCAAACACATTATTAGTTGAATTATAGTTTTTTGCAAGAAATTATTCTTATGGTAGAAAAATCCCAGCTCCACCTTACTTGCTCTGTATCCTTCTGTGAATCACCTGACTTCTCTGAGCCTCAGTTTGTCTGTGAAATGAGTTATCTAAATCCTTTCTAACTAGAATTCAGTTATTTGATTCGTAAATATTTGAGATATATATATTATATGTAGCCTATGTTAGTCATAATCCATTATTTTTGGCCAGTCAATACTAAAAAACTTCAATTTCTTTCCTCTTTTAAGCTACATATTAGCAGCTCCTATCTTTATATTTTATTCATGTTAAAATATTTATTGGAGCCTAAATTAGGTAAAACTAAGATTTCAATCTCACTCACATTGAAATATCAATATACTTACTATGAAACAAAGAAAAGGAAAAGATGCTACTGTTCTAGAAACCATCCTGGCTCCCAAAGAAAAGATCAGTACTGCTTAGCAAAGAACCAAACAGAGCCTATGGTTAAAAATGACCTGGCAGATGACAAAAGATTAGTTTTTTGACAAGTAAAGTTCCATAACTAATGGATAACAATAGATAATAGAATTAAAAAGGTAAAGTGCAGGGTACCCAAAGGAGGGCCTGGATTGGTTCAGACTCAGAGGTTCTAAGATATCCTAAAACCAGCTGATTTTCATGTTAATCACAATTTTTGGCAATAGTATCTTATTTCTACCATGATGTTTTTATTAATCAAACTATTACTCTAAGCTGTACTTCCATATTCCATGTTATTAGGTATTATGAGGGTTAAGAGAGAAACTAAAACTGTGAATCAAGTATATTTACTCTGCATCTGCACATTACATCTCAAATCTCAAGCTAGTTGGAATAAAATTAAAAAGCAATTCATAAATCATGATACTGGTGATATACATGCATATGTATACAAATTTGCATATGTTTATATATTTGAAGAAAAGGTTTTGTACTTAAGGGCCTAAAGACTTAGAAAAAATGATTTGTTTTCTTACTCAATGACAGAAACAGTATAAGAATTATCAAAATTCTTCACTAATAGTATTCAATAATGAGGTTTTTATGCAATAACTTTATAAATCATTTGCTCCTGTTTTCAGAAACTATTAAAGTAACAATGGATATTTAAATTGTTTTAAGGAGTTTAACTTTTTTAAAAAAATTAACCTTAGTGGTAATTTTGTGAGAGGATTTTAAATCCCTTCTAGGAACATCCATTCAGTTTTGAGCTAATGTTGTAGCTGGAATATTACATTGTATGACTTGTAAAAAGCGTATTTTAAAAAATTTCAGGGGTTTTAAAATATCACCTAAGTAATTTTTGGACAAGTGAAAGGAAAAAACAAAAATCTAACATCAGGATGTCCACCTTGTGGAAATATATAGTAATTACAGGTCAAAATTTATTCTATTATACGATGGCAGGTAAGTTAAAGTTTTTAGCTATACATATGTATGTCCTTTGACAGTAAATTCAAGTTCATAATTGCAAAATCCTAATACTGTTAAAACTTTCATGTGCTTCCAATATCCATTTACCCACTTCTTTTCAAGAGACTTTTTTCAGTTTTCAGAGAACATCTCAGATCTTCATAAGCAACATACGAAAATCAAACTGAATATATGAAAATATTCTCAAAAAGTGAATTCCTATGAATTACATTTGCCTATTTCTCTGTAACTTTATTTATGGTGATGACATTAGGAACATACCATTAGTTCATATTCAAACAAAGTTTGTTAGAATAAACAATGGAAAAGTTACCAGTTATCAGTTCTATAGCTCTATAAAAACACAGAAGTGTTTTATGTTCCAGTAACAAAAACCTTTTGAAGTCTTTAATCTCAACTGTAAATCTCCTTAAAGATGTGAATGGAAATTTAAAAAAAAAATTTTTTGGTAATCAATGGGAGGGAAATCTGAATATGGTATATGTGCTACTAATTTAATGTTTAAAGTTGCAAACATGTTATATATGGGTATCATTACTTTCTAAATACAGTTTATTATCCCCTTTCAAAGATACATGCCCTGAATATATTACCACAATTCAGGTTTTAAGCCTAAAAGACTGGTCTAAGCCACCAGTCCATTCCCTGACTTCTGCTTCTTGGTTATAATGGTGACGCTAGATGTGGCACAAAGCAGTCTCAGGAACCACCTACCATCTTGCTCCAGTTTTTACATTCTGAGTTAAATTTCCTGGTGTATTATTTTGCCCCCAAATTGTACTTTAGTTGTTTATTCATAGTATATATGATTCCTTCCATGCTTATTCCAAGTTTTAACTGGCTATGTTAAGAAACTAAGTAGTGAGTATTTGTAGATGATGGTGACAGAATGGCTAGAGAATTATCTCCAGCAACCATGGAGCTCCACTCTAGGCACTGGATTTGGAAATGACAGAACTAGTCACTGTAGACTGCAAGTTTAACGTGGAATTACTCACCATATGAAAGCCATACGCTCTTCCATTTCAAGGTCACGCTGTCCTTTTACGTTAGTGTTGGCTATCCATGGCATCAAGATTTGGTGGCATTTAGATTACTATAGTAATGACTATGGAGTTAGTATTTAGGTTTCTACCTAGTTATACTAATGATATAAACATTTTTTCTTCCATGTCCTTTTCCACATGTACTTCTGGGATAATTACCACCTTACAGCTCTCTTTGGTGGAGGACATGCGGTAAATCTACACCAACAAAGTGTTACATTACAATCCAGGTAAGCAATTTAAGCCATTAGCTACAATGATAAATTGTTTTTAATATGTTTAAAATAGAAAAATCAAGAATGTTTGGCTATATTAATTAATATACTCATTAATCTTTGAAAAATTGATTTAAATCACTATTTTTGTGAAAATTCAGGATGACATTTTATAATAAAGAGTTCTGATCTTTAAAATTTTCCCTGTACTTTGAATCTGCAAACTATAGCCCACAGACCAAATCTAGCCAGCCTTTTTTTTTTAATTGCCAGTAAGCTAAAAATGTTTTTATATTCTTAAGTGGTTACATTTGAAATGACTAAGTACCTATATGATAACCTCAAATTTGCCTTTTGGCCCACAGAACCTAAAACATTTACTGTATGGCTCTTCAAGACAGCTTTCCCGACTCCTGCTTTAAACTTATAAAACATTTTAAACATAAAACAGAAACATTTATAAATAAATTACATAAAATCCAAATAGCTAAATTTTGTTTTTTAAATAAGCTTAAAATTTAATGGCATCTATTCTAAATTTCAAGCATACATTATAAACTCAACTGAAAAATTTTGACTTATATAAAATGTATACCAAATTAGTAAATTAATAAAGCCCCATCACTATTAAAGGCAAGTGTTTCACTCTGCCAAATTCCTTTTTATTTGGAATTATTGCTATTGCAGCATAAGTTAAAAGTTGATTATCTAAAGTTCAAGATGGTACAATATACTGATCTCACTCAACACATCTGTATTTCTAAAAATAATACTGAATTATTTTACTTTGGATGTTAGTTCAGAATATTTCCATGGGCCTTTTTTATTTAATATGTTTTTTTTAAAAAAGAAAAACTAAAACTAACCATTACAAATACAACATTGCCTTAGCAATGCAGTCTATGTTCATTTGATTTGCCTACAAAATTCCTCTAAGGGGCCAATAAAATGGAAACTTGTATGATTCTGAATGACTTTAAATGTATGTATCTCCTCATATGTACAAGGAAGAGGGTTCATTTCTTTTTTGGGAGGGGTTTCTAGAGAAAATCAAAAAACCCGCTAGACAAGTTCTAAAGGAGCTGTAACTCTATGGAAGGAGTTCCTTTGTTACTTAGCTCTGTTTCTAGGGCTGAGCTCAGTGTATTTAATGTAATAGATGCTCAAATGGATGGCTAATACTTTATCAATTATAATGGGAATACTGACACCTTATAGGACTTCAAGTTTTAGGAGACACTTTGTGCCTCTTTGAATTTAGTAAACTCCTACCTAAAATGATACATTTGTTTG